CAGTCTCAACAAATATCTGATCGTTTGTGTTGTCTTCACTGGTGTTTTTATACGCGAACGTTAAATCTAATTTTTTCTTTCTTTCTTCATTTAAACAATTTTAACTGTTTTACCATATATGGTAATAGCGTGAATCGAATACACGTGAATTTATCGCAAAGGTATTCATAAACAATAGAAGAGGTCACAGGATCTCAGAAGACTTTTCAGGTGCTATTTCAACGCTAATAGTTTTTCATGATGAAACTGGAACTGAACACAGATCAAAATTGAAAAATTTACAATTCACTCGTATCCAGATGAACGCTATCGTTGGTTAGTAGACCGAATTAGGTTAGAAATTTGATTTTTCACGATAGCTGCAGAATGCTTTCTATCGATCAGAGTAATAGCATCCTGCTAATAACTGCCATTGTGTAATCATCTCTCTGAAAACTCTACCAAAGAACTTTAATTTCTTGCAATGACTAGTCCAGTTTCATATCGATTATATATGCATAGGTCAAAAGAGCACAGAAACAATTAGTTTTTTTGTTTGTCGTTTTTCTTACACTATGAGTTCGAATAAAGAATATTAATAAATTCTGACATTCAAACATGTTTAAGACGATGATGAATGTCACATTTGCACTATACCCAAGACTAATGCAAAACCAGAACTGAATTCAGAAGGGCGACACTTTTAACAAGTGCATTAATATTTCCAAATCTTTGAATATCATGAAAATCATGAGCTGTAGAGTTTTACTAATTCTTTTTTTTCTATTTTAATTTTTATTAATCAGAAGTTACCTTTTCCTTTATATTATTTTTTCTACAAATGAGCATAACGTTACACAGATGAAAAGACAGAAAAAGAACAAAAAGAGTTTTGAAAATACAAAAATGAAAGAGTAATTAAATAATAGCAACCAACGAATACACAATCACTTGTCATCTCGATGCAAAAATTGATCGAATATGATCTGAAGATGCGACGGTATATGGCTTATATCCATCGTAATCACAAATATTGGCATCGGTTCCAAGATCTAGTAATAAATTTGCACAATTATCATGGCCACAGCTTGCAGCTAAAAAATTATAAACAAAAAAATAATTACATCATTTCAATATTGAAAACATCATATTAGCTAATTACCGTAGTGTAACGCCGTTTGTCCTTCGGCATCTTGAATATTCATATTGGCACCTTTTCTTGCTAATAAACGAATCATATTTTCATCGCCACGATCAGTAGCCCAGTGGAGAAGCGATAGTCCCTGCTCAAAACCACATGACATCGGTGAAGAAATTAGATTATTCTCAAAATAATCACGCTTACCAATACATCCGGCTCATTAATATCAAAGCCAGTAGTTAGTAATTCTTCAACACGTTGTAAATTTCCTTCTTGACAAAAGTCAAATATTGTTTTATCTTTATCATCTATTTCTTCTTCATCTTTTTTGAAACGACTGACACTAGGTCCACCGGTACCACTAGATTTTGCATTCTAAATCATTAATATGATTGTATAATTGTATAAGAAGTTCTTTTACTACACACTTCATTAGTAATATTATTAATTCGTTTTATGTGATTCACTTTTTCAATATATTCATGTGATGCTTGCATTTTTGATACATTTTTTACTGAGTTCCATGCATCCCTAAACAGAACAATTATTTAATATCAGAAAATAGCTAAAACATAAATTTTCAAATACCATTTCGCTTTAGGTTCAAAATTAAGTGTAAATATTCCGGGTCTAGGAATATTAATATCTCCCACAGTCACCTAGATAAAAGAAAAAAATGTCTATATTTTTTATTAGAAAATTTTGATTACTGACTTGTTTATAACGTGCATAGAGATATAGAAGATCGTCTTTTGAAAACAGTGGTAAATGGCTCTGAACGAAAGCAGCTGCTTCTTCGAATAAATCATCGTCAACAAAAGATTGTAAATCATCATTATTATTCGAGGCCATAATAAGATAACAAATAGTAACTATAGATCTAAAACAAAAACAAAAGATACATCGAGTGTCTAAATGTTTCATCGCTTTGAAGATGCATTAGTTATCCTCTATTTTTTCCTTAGTTTTTTTTCTTATTTCACATAAATTCAGCGAGAATAAAAAATGTCTCTAAAAAGCCAAACTCTTCAGCCAACAGATTCAAACTCAGCCTTTTTTCTTGAAACTAATCTTAACTCATTCAAATATATTCTGTTACACAATGCTGCTATACGGAACAAAAAAATAAAATTATTTAAGAATAAAATTGCACTATTTGTCTTCTTTTTTTTCTCCTAAAAGAAGTATAGTCAAATCGAGGAAAGAAAAATCGTTTAGCTTTTTTCTAAACAACAAGGCTTATATTCATACTATTTAATTTTCGATTAAAATTTCCAGCATATTTCGGTGTTTCCCATCACTATAAACTCGATTGTTCACCATTTTTGCTACATCAAATTTTGTTTGTATTTTGTTCATACGTTATCATATTCTAGAATATATACTTATAAAAATTTATGTATATAATTTTACGTAGATAAGAATTTAATTCATCATCACGTTTTTCTTTATCCGTAATATTCTATACTTCATTAAACTAACGAAAACTTCAATCATTAATCAAAACCTAAAAAACTTAAACTTTCTGAAATAAAAACAGCAAAAAGAAAATCTCAAGATCAGTGTATCAAAAAGTGAAAGAGAAGATTTCTAGCTGTAATCTGCCTTAAATTATTTTCCAAATAATTTACGTATTTAACAATAAATAGGGCTAGTTCGACCTAAAATGTGCTTCTCTTATAATAAAAATTTTTTAAAAAAAGATTTCGAGCACCGTTGGAAAAGCGAGACACCACTTTGAAGAGAAGATCGTGTACTACGAAGTGTCTGTTGTGGTTTTCTATAGAAATTTTGTTACCGAGACTTTTTGAAAATAACTGGTCCTTAGCGATCCTATTTGTTACCTGCTCTTGTCGAAAATGAAGTTTTTGAAACTTTATATATTAAAGATTTGAACATTGGAGATAATTTGATAATAAATTCGGTAATAATTGATGAAAGTTTTTTATAAAAATGAATCTCGAAGTAATCGGCTGCAAAACTAGTATGCTCAACCTTGTAAACCAAATATCTTAGTAAGAGAAAATGATGAAGAGTTTTTGAAGAAGTCATTGGGCGGAGAATGAACAATGCAACAAATCTGCTTATTCCGATTTCTATTTGAAGTTTTAGTGAGAGAAAAAATAGACTAAAATAAAAAAGTTTGAAAATGTAAAAAACATTCTTCAGTAACTGGCCTCTAGTTAAACCATTTTACATTATTATGGTCCGTATCCACAACAAAAATGTTCAGCTCGTCAAGCTCGACAAAACAGGATGTTTAAAAACTTTTTATATTTTTACTCAATGCATGAAGGAGAATAACTTGCTACTACTGCAACTCAAAAAATAAAGGACTTTGAAAAGTTTTGATACCGGTTTTGGGACTTGGTAATCATCTGGTAAAAATTACATCCAATTTTGAGTTCATCATCTTCCCAATCTTGGTAATTCTTATAGACGATGACTCTTAATGTTTTTAGACCAAGAAACGTTGTTTGAGAACATCAAAAAACTAAACAAAACTTCTTTTTATTGAACAGATTTATTTACAACACAAAAAAATTACCCTACACATGATTTATTTACTGTCACATTGCAAATTGAAAAACAAAACGTTAATAAAAAACAGATATGATCTGTTTGAGAAACAGTCAAGTTAACAATTACAAAGCTTTTTAATAATACAATATAAAAGGTGTACATAAATATTTGTTTACCAATCTGAATGTTCTTTTTTTTTTCTGAATGTTAAGAAATCGTTCTTTTTCATATTATTTGCTTGTTTATTTTGTTGTGATTCCAATTTTGGACAGTTTGTAATACGATGACCAAGACCATTATACTAGGAGCATCCTGGTTCATGTATAACAAAATTATTTTAAGTAATTACATGACAAACTCTGCACTCTTCTTGCTAAAGCTTAGGAAAATGAAAGCAAGCTGAACTAATACTTTACCGCCAATATCCAATAAACGATCTTTATCTGAGTCTAACTGCAAAAAGATTGTGGAACAGGTTGCTTAGCTTCAATTAATAAATGTTTGAGATCGAGAAGAATAGCTTCATCTACAAAAATAAGCATTAGAGGAATTTTTCGTTGAAAAGTGAAATGAATATGTAACTCACCACATGTTTTATTGACAAACGTCGTGGCTAAACCCATCTTTCCACAACGCCTTGGTCTTCCAATTCGATGAACTATAGAGAAAAAAGAGAAAAATAACATCATAGTGAATAAAACAAAAGTTGCAAGGAGATTCGTCACTCAGTGTAGTTAATATATCGGTATCAATTCGATAAGATTACCATAATTTTCGATATCTTCTGGTAAATCGAAATTGATAACATGTTATATATCAGGAAAATCGAGCCCTTTTGAGGCTACACCTGTTGCTACAAGTAGATCTTTTTCTTTTGTAACAAACTTTTCCACAGCCCAAAATCGTTCAACTTGATCTAAATATCAAAACGAGTCAATATTCAAATTGTTATCTAAGTCAGAGTTTCGCAGACGTTGAAATCAAAGAATGTTAGACAATATTTTTCTCTTACCTTTGCCACCATGAATCGCAACAGCTTCGACGCCTTTCAACAATAAATATTCGTGAATGGCATCGACATCTTGTTTATGTTGAGCAAATATCAGCACCTAAATATAGACAACGTTATCAAATAAACATCAAAAACAAATCAAAACTTTCTCACTGGTGGCGGAGTTTTTTGTAATGTTGTGAGCAACTGTACAACTCGTGCTTCCGCCATAACGTGTTCTATTTCTTGGTTCACTTCAAGGCTGGCAGCTCCTATATTACATCAAAGATCAACATATAAAACGAGTCGTTTACAATAAAAATAAAGCTTCAATTCGAACCTGCACGTCCAACATTGATCGTTATTGGCTTGACCAAAGCACTTTTAGCAAAATTCTGTATTTTTTCTGGCATTGTAGCAGAAAATAACAATGTTTGACGTTGAGTCTAAAAGAAGTAAAATTCTTTGATAACATAATTTTTTCTTGTTCTTTACTTTTCCTAACAAACCTTAAAATGTGAAATAATATTTCTCACACCTTCTTCAAATCCCATATCAATCATTCGATCAGCTTCATCCAAACATAAATATCGACATATATCCAAATAAAGTAATTTTTTATCAAGCATATCCATTAAACGATCGGGTGTAGCGACAATAATATGAACACCACTATAAACGTAAAATTTTCTAATAATGATAAAAACAATCTACAATATGTTTTCTTATTGTTTAATTGTATCTAATTGATCTTTAATAGCGATCCCACCAACGCATACTAATGTACGTAATTTTGGCATACCGCAACGATGTAAATGATCACTGATATTTGAGATAACTGTCTGCGTTTGACGCGCTAATTCTCTCTATAAAAAATATAGATAAAACATAAGTATGTTGTAGTCACAAAACTGAAACTTACCGACGGACAAACAACCAAGCCATACGGTCCTTCATTTTTAACAAACGGCATGGCTAATTCTTGTTCACAACAGAACATGACAATGGGTAAAGCGAACACAAGCGTGTTACCACTGCCCGTATAAGCAATATCAATCAGATCTCGTCCGGACAAACTAAAGAGAGAAAATATATATTGTACAATTTTTTAACGATAAAAATAAATTAATGACAACGTACACAGCAGGAAGACCTTGCATTTGTATTGGTGTGGGACCGTTTGTTGTTTTTTCAGCAAGTACATTCAATATACCTGGCGGAAATTTCATATCCTAAAATTATTTAATAAATGATTCAGATTATAATAAAGATGGATAAGTAGTTCTGACTTCGAATGATCGCAATAGTGGTGGAATATCGTCACCTTCTAGGTTAATATTGTGACGTTGTCGAACACGTTGATGACGTTCATTTCCCATGGCTACAATTGCACGAGGAGATCGCCAACTGAAAGAATAAATCACAAATATTGACAAACTCAATTCTATTTGGGCATCAAAACAGTTCACGGTCGATTACAGTGACCGAAAATCTTTATTGAGTTTTTTCTATCGTCTTTCATCTTTAGGGTGCTTATGAGAGCCAAAAAATAATATTAAACAGCACGACTTGAAAAAAAATACCTTGTTTTAATTGATTCTGTATACTCAATGCCTTTTGCCAGTTCAGCAACACCCATCCATTAACGCTAAAACACAAAAGAAGACTGGTAGTGATCTTCCGAAAATTTTGCGTCATCAATTAAACGAACCTTTCGTTTCCACCACATTTTCAAGGATTCGTTGTTCTTCTTGAAGAACTTTATCGGTGTTTGTTTGATCAGAATCAACTGCAATAGAAATCAACTATATATAGGTAGTTCTATGCTAAACAAATATGATTACTTTGCTTTTTTTTCAATTCACTCAGTTGATCAAGAAGAGTAAATTGCGCTTGTGAGCCAACAGTTATTTCTTCGTCAATATAATGATGATTTGTATGTGATCCTTTTGGACTGTCTGTTAAATTTTGAGAATTTTCTTCACTAAGATTTCCCCCACATAAACGTTCTAGCTAGAGGAAAATAAGAATGTGTTATTGTCAACCAGGATATAAGAACTGACAGTTTCCAAACTTACGTGTTTTCGACGTCTTTCCTTTAACGACACATATACGGGTTCACTAGTAATTTCTGAATCAATATCTAAATCCAATTCTTTTGAATTTGAACGCTCCTTAAGATAAAAATACATTTTACTCTTAGTTTACAGCGTCAAACGTATTCTTACTATCCGTCGTCTTTTCACTTGAAAATGTTTGATTATGTCACGCCTATCATCATCTGAATCCATTTCTTGGAAACTTTTCTCTATCTTGAAACAAACAGCATAAAACATTAACGGGCACAAGTGACACAATAAAAATAGAATTTTGAAACAAAATAAGTACATCGATTTCAAAAAGTGAACCCCTGAAGAAGTTTTTAATCTTACGATGCCTACACGATTAGCCACGGTTAGCTGCTAGTTCTTTTCGTTGAAGCAGATCGATTCAAGTTCAAATTCTACTATGGATCTTTTGTTTTAAATTTTTCTTTACATTCCGTTTTCATCTAGTCTGAGCAGTATTTTTACCACTAGATAGCATACTCTGAAAGACTCAGTCAGAATCAGACTTTAATAAGTCATGAAAAAGTTTCGATAAATTACATGATTCTTATGTATATATGATGTCTGCAAATCAATGCTTCTAATGAGAATCAGAATCTGAATATACTGGACACTCTCAACCAGGGGGGTCCCGTTGTGTCCGAGCACACCCCATAAGTAAAAATTGCTAATGGTATTGGCGATGAACGGCTGAGCAATCTTATCTTAATTCACATTCATCGTGATGTTGCAATGAACTTAAACCTGGAAGATGTTATCAACATTTTTTGCAAAGACAAGCGGTGTATTGTTCATCAAAAAATGGGTAGAACTATTTTCTCTCACATTCACTTACTTAACCAGTTGTTTTTTGTCTATCTTCGATAAAATACAGAGGTGTACTTAGGCACACAGCATACTTTGTTTTGAGATAGCCTCTGAGAAACAGCGTGAGTGAGAACAAGAGAATATTTTACCAATCGCTAAAAAGTTGCTTAAATAAGTTGTGGCAAGAGATATCTACATTTTTTTCGCGCGCTTCATTGATGCAAACCGATGTGAAGATCCTTTTGCGTCCTGTTAGTGTTCTGGACCAATCGCCGTCACACAGACGACTATATTGGAATCAGAACCAGTACGACCAAAAAACAAAATGCAAGAAAACCGGTATATCGATTTACATCTATAGTGCGCCCCCCCCCCTTAGCAAAATCCTGGCTTCGGGCCTGGACACTCTGCTCCAGGACCAACCGTGTACGCATACACTCTAGGTTCCAAAACAAAATATACCACAATGACTTATTTTGAAACAATATATATCCCACATAAAACTGATGAAAACTTTATAAATGCTTACGACTAATATATATCAGACTATGTTGTGTTCGAAGATTTATAACATTAGATTAGCTAATTTTATACGTGCAGCACATTTAGACCATAAAAATACAAATAGGCTGTTAACTTGGAACGCATCAATAACAATATCAAAACGCCAAGAGCAAGTGACGAACTGTGGAAAG